TTCGACAATGTTCCATAAGTTCAAATCCAAAGAAAGCAAGAAAACTCTCATTAAAGTTTTCCAATATGTGTAGTCCATCCCATTGAAAAAGGGAGGACGAATGAGAGAGTGGCCCTCTTGAAAGCCGAAAAGAGTCATTTCTCTTGGGTGTTAAACCAAATGAGAAATACGATGCTCTGATACAAATTGTTAGGATCGAGGTCGGCACTAAGAGGGGGGGTGAATTATTGCAGCGGTCAAAATTACGTCTTCAAAAACTTCGTTGCGATAAAACTGTTTATGTTGAAAACTGATTTCAAAAACTTAACTTGAAAGCATATGGAAGTGTACTTGTTGTAAAGCAAGGAAGGCATTTTGCAGTTAAGATAAATAGCAAAACAGAAATGCAAATCGATTTATAGTGGTTCGGTCGTCGTGACCTACATCCACTCCTTCGATTCCTCTTCCGTCGAGACCACCGGCATCCACTATCGATCTTCCTTTAATATGCGAAGATCAACCTCCTTCTTACACCCCTCTTCTCCTTTTCACGGGTTTAGGAGACAACCTTTACAAGCACTCACTCATCTCTTATAGAATTCTAAACTTAGAGTGGAGGAGAGAATTTCTAAAGAGATTACAACAGCGTTTTCTCACTTTTGAATACTCTGTGCTTTTTTGTTTATTAACCAGGGATGAGAGAGGTATTTATAGGCTTCAAGTTGATTCAAACTTAGAGCCTAAAAATATCTCATCCCGGGTTTCCTGGGTATGGGCGGTACCACCACCAGTGTCAGTCTGATACTGACACTACGCTGGGTGGTACCATCGCCCAGGCTAGCGGTACCACCTCCTGACATAGTCTCGAAGATTGTGCCACGATGGTGCCACTTTTTGGGGCACTATTTGGGCCTCTCATTGGGCCCAACACAGTCCTTACATGGGCCCAACTAGCCCCTAATTAGGTTGGCCCAAATCCAAACCCAATTACGTGCTAACTACGATTCCTAAGACATATTCTAAAGCTAAACAAGTCTGTTTGTCTTGGTTTTTTCCGGCGAGCTTCCGGCGATCTTCCGACGATCTCTCAGCAATGTTCCGACGGACTCCCGGCAAGCTCCTGGACTTCACGACGATCTTCTTGGCGAGTTCCGACGAGCTTCTTTGGCAAGCTCCTGGACTTCTCGGTAGAACTTCCGACGAACGTTTGGACTTCCAACGAACTCTCGAACTCCCAACGAAATCGCGTCCATGACACCGGGACTTCATTTTGATTTATGCCTTGCTATCGTAGTTAATCATGCACATGTAAAAACACACTTCGATCTAGACAATTAATACTAGGTATCAATCATGTTGTCCAGCATGTCATTGGTCCCTCAACACTTCGTCCGATTCTTCGGTGCATCGTCCTCTCTTACGGCCTATTGCCCAATCGGCCAATTGACTCCGCAACTCCGATATCCTTAGCACAATATTCGCTCATCTTGGCCCGATACCCGAATCCATGGCCTGAAGCCTTCTGTCGATACGTCGACCGATCCTCCGGCTCGACATCCAATCTTCTGACATGTTTTCCTCCGGCACAATATGATTTTTCCTGCTTTAATTGTCTCATCCTGATTAAAGCATCATGCGTCACTCAAAATGTAAATTAAAACATAAACACTTATCAATTGGTTTCATCATCAAAATTCGAGATTCAACAGTTGTGATTAGACTAATTTTAGCATTTCCTGAGTTGATTTGATGGTAAATACAACAAAAGACAACATCTCATAAAATTTGCGTTTGGCGTAAAAGAAAACGTAAACACGAACGATGTGAAATGGAACGTTAACCTACTCATGCGATTAATCTGGTTCCAGTAAATTATAAATCTAGTTCTCGTCTATATGCACATGAAAATTTATTTCAACTGTGCAGGCTACGTTGGAAATACCCTTTTGCCAATGCAGGATTCCTGCTGCTACAATCTTCGACGCATTCTTTGTCGCAACAATGTTGGCATCAGTAAAGTCCAGTCCCCACAGACTGAGACTGAGTTCCCCTCCACCGCCACCGCCACCTCCACTGCAGTCCAATCTCCACAGACTGGGGTCACCTCTTCTGCCGTCAGTGAGCATTTGTTTCCATCCTTAACCTAACTATCTTATTTATGTGGCTCTGGACACAAACTGACATTTTCTTGTTCCTCAGTTTGCTCTCTATAATACAGGTGATGAAGATGGGTCTAAATAGTTGTGCTCTTTGGTTTTAGTGCCTAAAGAAATTTACCTTCGCTCATTATAGAGTTTGTGATAAGTACAGGACAAGCGACTTGTTTTATGAGTCTATAACAAATCTAGATTCTCACTGCAAACACATGTTTTCGTAGATCACCGAGAATGTTTTACTAATCTTACCATGATTTTTGCATAATTGCCTGATGATATGCAGCATGTTTTGTAGATGCGTCAACAATGGGAAAGTCGAAAGGAAGATATCTCATGGAAGGTGACAGCCGCATGTCTACTTTTATCGAAAAAGTCATTATTTACTTTAAAGCATTCTACCATAGTAGAAATGGTTATGATTTTTTACTTCAAAGGTGGAATAATATTAAAGAAGATACTTACATAGTCATAGCCTTTTGATGTCTTCAGCAGATCAATGTGCTGGTTGTGTTGATGGTTCTTTGCAAAAAACCTCACCAGGTAACAACAGTGCAAAGATCTCACCTAGTTCCTTATGTATTTTTGTGCTTTTTCCATTAGTTTCAAGATAAGACAATTCAGCGGTTTGAGATGCCACTTGGGGAATCAAACCAGTAGCTAATTTAGATTATATGCATTGCATGACAATCACTTTAACTGTAATCACACCTCACTTGGGAACAACACAACCCTCCACATCTCATTTTTCTCCTTGTACTTATAACATATGTACCAATTGTTCACTTTTTGAAACAGCAACTCGTTTTTTTTTCCTCTCTTTTTTGCGGTGTGAGATAGACTTGATCTGGGAAATTATTTTGTTCCGATCAAGATAAGACAATTCAGTGGTTTGAGATGCCACTTTGGGCATCAAACCAGTAGCTAATTTAGATTATATGTACTGCATGACAATCACTTTAACTGTAATCACACCTCACTTGGGAACTACACAACCCTCCACATCTCATTTTTCTCCTTGTTCTTATAACATATGTACCAATTGTTCACTTTTTGAAATAGCAACTCCTTGATTTTTTTCTCTCTCTCTTTTTTACCATGCAAGATAGACTTGATCCGTCAAAGTATCTTAATCCAATCAAATTACAGAACCCATAACCTAGGTGATAGCATCGCTTACGATTAGTAATTTTTTGATTCCTTAAACTTTTGGATACACCACCTAAGAAAGGTTGAGATGTCTAGTAGCAGGATCTATAGATTGAGATTCTAAAGTTAAGACCCTAATGCGAATTCATTTATTTCATGAAAAATGATCTTATTCATATTCCCTAGACACTCTTTGGTTATTCATTTTGATACCTTTTCTCTCAAGACAATCTTATATATGTTACTACCTTTGAACAGCTAAACCTTGGAGGGTATCTTGATTTACTTGATCTTCACTAGCACCAAAACTGTACATTCTTGAGAACTTCAAAGATTATGATTTTGATTGAAAGAACTCTTCTTCACATCTTTCTTTTTCTATACTTCTATCATTGTCAATGTTCCAAGGGAAAAAATGCTTATCAACTAATAATACTATGCAAATAAGCATCTTGAAAGAGATTTGGAAAGGATCAAAATTATTTCTTCGACCATTTCATGAGAATAGATTACGATGAACTGGGTTGAGAAAAAAAAAATCTCAGTTCCGACCTGAAAACCTGATTGAGAAGCCCACTAGACTTGAAGTCATCACTTTCAATTGATATGCTGGGAGCTTTGAGATTATGTTAGCTAATGAGTGGATTAGAATATAGTGGTCACAACTCATAGGATGTGCAACTCCCTCTTTTGGCACCAAGGCCTTGAATGAATGGCTGATCCAAGCTAAAAGATCTTGCAAAGAGATCTAGTAAAATCCAAAGATCAGATATAATCATATGTGAAGCTGTGAATTTTTTCTGCCAAGAATGAGCCTTTGAAGGTACTAAGAAGCTCAGGTTGTTAATTGTATATATTGTTTATTAAACACTGATTAAACCAATTTGGTTATGATCTTTGTCCTCATTTGAGTCCCACAATAAAGTTCAGATTCAATTGGTGTTTCTTTCCCAACACCAGTAGGAGTGTTCCATTTTATTAGATATGGGAGTAGCGCTCGTTCCTAAGAAACTCGATCATCTAGCTTACAAAATGTTAATGGTCTGAATTCTTCTTCGACACACCAATATTAACAATCTAGCATCAATCTCTTTGCGTCTTCAGCTGTAAGCAGTGTTTAAGATCAAGACTCCTATATATATTGTTTTCCTTAAGCAATACAAAAGCCATTGGACTTTGCAATGTTTGCTCTATTCTCACTAGACAAGAGCCACTTCCGATAGCATCTTTTCATATTTCCAATTATTCTCTGAGGAATGCTTAGTGTCTTAAATTATTGCAAACCAATCCCTACATCCATTAGCTCAGCTCCAACCAAAGCAAGTGCCTAATTTGAATTAGTTGAAGGGCCATATATGTTTGTTTCAATGAAGTACCTGTCAGATGTTTGACTGCTTAAAAGTACTGAGACACAGAAAGTACCTTTTGGATGCCATAGTACACTTCCATATTGGAATTACTTCATCTTGTTACCATGAGCTCTCCTCTTGTTTCCATCTATTAGTTCTAATTTGAGAACAGTAGTATTAGTTCACCAATTGGTTGTGATGTGCTGCACATCTTGCTATAGTCCTAGTTTTTTGCAAAAGTTTTGCTATATGATTGTTAAGATCTAGCTTTCCTCAGTATATCAAGGGCAGACTTCTATCAAATATAAATTCAATTATAGACAAAGTTTAATCATGTTTTTCTATGCTAGGATATAAAAACTCTACTTACCAGCAAGTATTTCATAAATTAGCTAAATGTTGGGTGTTCTGCAGCAGAAGTCCCTGGCAAATCTCCAGTAGATCCGTCTACAGCAGAAGTCCTTGGCAAATCTCCAGTAGATCCGCCAAAGCCACAACGTCCGCCGGGGGAACTCCATAAACTGTAAGGATTCTCTCTGTCAAGGGTAGATAATAATTCCTTGTTAGTTTAGGTTTTTTCCCCTCATGAAACAATGAATTCCCATGTAAACTTTAATGAATTAATAACAAATTAATATCTTGAAGACAACGATTCAGAGAGGATAACAGGAGTAATGATCTTTTGGTTTTCTTCTCCTAGAAAATCAAGAAACTAGAAAATGGACATGGAGGGGAAAGTGAGGGGAAAAAAAGAGAAGATTATTGTGTCCTGTTGGCCCAATGAAGCAAAATTTCATTTATTTCAACAAGCAGGTGGAATAAATTTTGATAACAAGACTAGGGCTAAACCAATAACACAAGACTTTTGGATCAAATTGGAAATGCCAATGACTTAGGATGGTAAATAATAGAAAATGAAATGATCATGTCAGAGATTGATCGATCGATCGGTGAGTATGTTAAAAAAAAAAGGGTCATTGTCCAAATTGAAACTATTCATGTATAACATTTTGTAGATAATTACCCTTGTTAGTATTATTGACATTGTTTTTCTAATGATAATGCAGATCTATTTTGATGATGGAGCACGACAGATCCTTATTTTGAACAAACTTTTCGATTGATTGGCACTTTTATCACTTATTACTGAAGTGTGGATGGCGTGTTTCTTTTATGAATACTGTTGTTTCTCTTTGGCATGGAGATTTGAATATGGATATGTATTTTTCATGAATATGACTGCACACAGGAATCCTGGATAATCTTTTGACTGCATGATTACATGTTTGTTTCTTTAAATAGACGTCGCTTATGTGCTACATATATTAGGTCTGCTAGCCAAAACATTTTGGACTGATCAGTCCATAATATAGATTGATGGATATCCACATATTCAAACTGAAAAATATGAGGCATTTTATTCTAGTTTTAGCAGAAAATTTGGAAGAAAAGCACTTTTTTAAAGTACTTACTATTACGGAAGTGATGTGCTTCACACATTCAGGACAGACACTCCTATTCAACAATTTCTATCTATCAAGCTAAGTAGCACGATATATCTTCTGGTGGGTGGGTGTCTCAAGTCACCCAGTTCTTGCATGAAATTAGGATTTGGTTCTCTGACAACAGCCGTTGTAGGGAGAGAGAGAGAGAGAGAGAGTGAGAGAGTGGTCGAAACGGGAACTAAGGCTTGGTTAGGATTGTTTGAAGAGGAACATATTATGTTCACTCTTAGAGACTGAGACACCCTATGCTTTTGAATCTCAGATCGGTGCCTGAGGGAGCACGTCCTTAAAACTTGAGGTCGAAGACGCACGATGTTATGCCCTTCATGCAGGAGCAGGTTAAAGGCAAATTGAAAGGTTTCATGTGAGGCATTTACACGAACCTGAAAACGAACGACGGTATGACGCTAATGCTTCTGCTCGTTTCTGCTACTGCCGATGCCGCTCTTCTTCCTGAAGCAAAACTTGCAACGCAAAGCCATGGCTTGTTAGATATGGATCTTCCGGTTTGCCGTTCCTTTTTGCTTTTCCCGAAGAAAACTGACCTAATGATACTCTCTTCCTAAAAGGCAAGATCCACCTTTCTCGGGGAACTCGTCCGCATCAATGTGCGAGAACGTGGTATTTATAATATATTATATTGATTTATACTATGTAAATAATATTTAACGCCATCGGTCTGCCAATCGCTCGCTATCATCTCTCTCGGGTTCACCAACAATTTGACTCCATTCGCCAACAAATTTTCCCTCACACGCTCAGTCATGTGGCTCGAAACTTTTGTCTTCTAATTATTGCTATGGAGTGGTTATAACATTACGACTAGGTTGCTAACGTGGAAGCATGTGTATGTGACATAAAAAAAATAACTTAAAATACATAGATACAGCTCAACCCATATGAAGAAGATACGGTTTAACCCATATAATAAGACTCAACCCAATGCATGAGTGAGACTCAATCCGATCTATAAAACTAGGTCCATCCAATTATGCAACTAGTACTAAACACATTGTCACCCCTCTATATAGCTCGTTGTATCTCAGTCTAACATGTTTCCTCGAATAGTCATATGCGATGCATGTGTCCCATCTAAGGCTCAAGTGAGTCGATTTAGTCTGAACTAGCACTATACGACATATTTTAATTTTCTCTTCCTTTATTAGTTTAAACTCGTTAGTTGACTGTGTTAGGAAAGGGGTCGACACTAAAAGGGAGGGGTGAATTAGTGCAGCAGTAAAATCACGTCGGTTTTGAAAACTTTTCGTACGATAAAAGCCGAACTCGGAAATACTTAACTTGAAAGCGAGTTCGTAAATTTATTAAAGACAGTAAGCAAGTAAAATGGTTTGTAGTAAAGTAACTGACAACAATATAAATGCAAACCAGAGAATACGCCAATTTTATAGTGATTCGATCATCGTGACCTACATCCACTTCGTCGATTCCTCTTCCGTCGAGGCCACCGGCATCCACTATCGGTCTTCCTTCAATAGACTAAGACCAACCACCTTTTACAACTTGATTCTCCTTTTACCAGGTTTAGGAGATAACTCTTACACCCCAACTTACTCCTCTCTCAAACTAATCTAACACTTAGAAGAGGGAGAGGAGTTCACACAAGATTACAACAGCATTTTCTCACTTTTAAATATTTTGTGCTTATGTATCTTAACCAAGGATGAGAGGGGTATTTATAGGCTTCAAGTTGATTCAAACTTGGAGCCTAAAAACATCTCATCCCGGGTTTTCTGGGTCTGGGCGGTACCACCGCCAATGTCAGTCTGACACTAACATTGCACTGGGTGGTACCACGGCCTGGCACCTTGCCAGGGGCGGTACCACCGCCCAGACTGGCGGTACCACCGCCTAACACGGTCTCGGAGACTGTGCCACAATGGTGCCATCTCTTGGGTCATTGTTTGGGCCTTTTATTGGGCCCAACATAGTCCTTACATTGGCCCAACTGGCCCATAATTGGGTTGGCCCAAATTTAATCCTAATTACGTGCTAACTACGAAATCTAAGACATACTTAAGCTAAACAAGTCCGTAAGTCTTGGTTTCTTCTGGAGGGCTTCTGGCGATCTTCCGGCGAACTTCCGACGATCTCTCGGCAATGTTCCAGCGGACTCCCGGTAAGCTCATGGACTTTATGACGATCTTCTTGGCGAGTTCCGATGAGCTTCTCTGGCAAGCTCTGAGATTTCTCGGTAGAACTTCCGACAAACGTCCAGACTTCCGACGAATTCTCGAACTCCCAACGAAATCGCGTCCTTGACTCTAGGACTTCACTTTGCTTTATGCCTTGCTATCGTAGTTAATCCTGCATATGTAAAAGTACACTACGATCTAGACAATTATTACTAAGCATAAATCATGTCGTCCGGCATGTTATTGGTCCATCGACGCTTCGTCCGATTCTTCGGTGCATCGTCCTCTCTTGCGGCATATTGCCCAATCGGTCAGTTGACCTCCGCAACTCCGATATCCTTGGCGCAATATCCGCTCTTCTTGGCCCAATGCCCGAATCCTTGGCCCGAAGCCTTCTGTCGATACGTCAACCGATCCTCCGGCCCGATGTCTAATCTTCTGATATGTTTTTCTCCAGCCCAATATGATTCTTCCTGTTTTAATTGTCTCTCAATAATCTAAGCATCCTACGTCATTCAAAACGCAGATCAAATCATAAATACTTATTAATTGGTTTTATCATCAAAATATGAGATTCAACATACTGAATTAAACAGGTTTGATCTAACCCACAAGCTAAGCATGACCTTATTCAATAGTAAGACTCAACCGAACTTGTGAGTGAGGCTAAGCCCAACCCACGAAACTAGGCTTGCCCTACATATGATTGACTCTAGACACCTCATCATCCCTCTATCTTACTTGTTATACCTTAGCTCAACCTATTATCTCGAATAAGCATGTGCGATGCACGTGATCCATCCAAGGCTTAAGTGGATCGGTTCGATCTGAAATAATACTATACAACATAGTTTAATTTTATCTCCCTCTAATAGTTTAAACTTGTTAGTTGACTAAATTAGATAGATTTGAATAGTTCAAATCAGTTTAAGGTGATTCTAGACTAACCTAATCAGTTCAAGCCTACTTAATCTAATCGAAACTAATCAAATCTAAATTAAATCAGTCTATGATGATTTTAGATCATTTTTTGATTTAAATCAATTGGACTATTCTAATCAGGGTTCTAGTTGATATAGGACTATTGAGATATTAATGTTTCATGTCTTTATAATTTGATGACCTTAAAAGTTTTATCTGAATGTGTCATTAGAAAATAATTTATAATTATTTATTATTTTTTTATTAAATTGATAATATTAATATGATTGTCATTATATAGTAAAAACGTAACTTATAAAAGGCGCTATGGGTCCATTATAGTGTGGATCCACAGACATAATCTAACAAATCATAGATGAAACATAGTCTATCATAATATCTTATCATACTATTTCTTGGATACATAAATGAATGAATAATCATGGTTGACTATGTATCGCTACCAAGGGTAGGAAGGGTGATTCTCTTTGAGAATTAGTAGACCATCAAACATGATAATTAGATGGTTCCTCTATCTGTTGTTGGGAAGAACATATCCTCACCTAGGTGAGCAAGAGATATTATTTTATTCACTATTGAGAGTATGATATGAGTTTTCTCCATCGAAACAGTATACTGTCACATATGATGTATACATTTATTATCTAATCATTATGTATGTCATCCAGATATGTTACATATAACTAATTCATGATTTTGTTTATTGCATAAAATTATTATTATTATTCTTATACATGAGTTTCATAATAAATTGATATATTATTTATTTAATATTAAATTAATATTTTTATGATTTGTTCAAAATTTAGTCTTTTTATTATATTTATTTTCAGAATAATCTATTATTTTATAATAAATTTGAAGCTTAAGTGGAGGAGATATTTTCGTCACTTATGACCCTACTAAGAATATATATTTTTTGATAAAAAATATTTAATATTATAAAGATAGTGATTTAAATTTAAAGATAAAAATGATCTTTTATAAATTATGAATAATCAAATATTATTTTTTTATATAAATATAGGACATGATATCAATAGTATTCTCCCTAAATATATGATATCATAATGGTCTACGAGCAATCACAACAAAAAAAAAACATATTATGATGTTAGTTGTAGTATTTTTAATAATATTTATAGTATTTTTTAATATCTCAATAAAAATATTATAAATAGTATTAAAAACATTATAAATTAGTCAAATAAAAATATTATAATAATTTAAAATTAATAAAAAGTAGATAAATTTTTTTAGGGATATTATAGATAATTTTAAATTAAAAACACTATTTAAAAAAAAACCAATTACGTAAACTCAAAATATCAATATTTTTTAAGAAAATCGACCAGAATTGAAATGACTACGTATGTCAGTTTGCTGCTACGTTAAGTCTCCGTCAGTCAACTGTGTGGCTCTATATTTTAAACGCAGAGCTCATGGATTAAACACGACAGGACAAAAGCGGTCAGTGGTCAGCAAGCCTCAATTAAGTTGATTGCTTCGCAAAGTGTGTTACGAGTACGCGCAGAGACCCACTGAAATCGATTCCATCTAATATATATATATATATATATATATATATCGATTAGCTATGTAAAAAAAAAAGAATGGATTTAAGCGTTTAAACAGAGAATCATAAGATTTATTGAAAGTAAAACACGCATATCTTGGATAGAAAATAGTCAACCTCTTATCTCACAGGTCTGATAAGTTGAATTATAGTATAATTTTAAACAAGTATAATATTTTTATAATTTTTTATTTGATTTATATATATATGTATATCAAATAAAATTTTTAAAATTATATAAAAAATTATACATAAAAAAAATTATCTATTAATTTTAATTTTTCATATTTAAATTTTATATATAATGATGATATAATCATGATTTTTATGACAGATTGCACGCAAACGTAGAGAGTTCCCAGTGGCTGCATCTCTTTTGCGAACGTGAGAACGACCGCTGGGATGAACACTTCGACTTGCCACTGCTCTGGTCGCCACCTCCGGTCACAGCCATCCCGACTTCCCTTCTCGCTTTTCCCCAGATAGAAACTAGTGATGGACCGGCCAATATCCATCATCTCGGTGACCCATCCCATCAGCAAGTAGGAACATGCTGTCCATCGGCCTGTGATCAAGTTAAAAGCATTCCTTAAAAGATAAAATTGAGAGAAGGAAATGAAATGAAAAGTTGATTTGTTTTAAGACCACTGAAAGGACAGAAAAATAAGAAGAAATATGAGGTGTTATGACTTAGCATATAAAGAGGAAACTATGTACTATCATATCGTGGAGGAGGAGGGAATAGTAGGATGCTATCTTCGACTTCTTAGTGAAGGAGTAAAAGGAGAGAGAGCAATGGCAATGTTATCTCTGACTTTTGTAGTTTACTATGAGGGAGCAGAAGGAAGAAGATAAAGAA